CGTCTTGTTCGTGTTGAGGCTGAGATTATTGTCCTTGCACCATGACACCAGACCAGCCACCTCCCTCCTGTAGGCTGCTTCATCCTCGCCAGTGATGTGACCTATCACTGTGGTGTCGTCCGTGAATTTTAGGATGATGCTGTCCTTGTGGGAGGCAACAGAGTCATGGGTGTACAGGGTGTAGAGGATGGGGAAAAAAAAAGAAAGAGTAAAAAACAGCCTCGTCAGGTGAGAGAGAGACTACTCTGATTGTCTCTTTAGCTTAGCGAATCAGTGCACAAGAATAGAACAGTTCAGGAAAGCTCCTTCAGCCTGCCGCTGTCCTTTCCATGATTTCACCCATTTAGTGTAGTTCCTCCTTGTTTTTCACCTCAACAACCTCCTTTCTTCTTCCACAACCCAAAGACCAAGGGCAGAGAACAGCAGTGTCATTTGTAATGTCTTATCAGACATATTCAAAGTTAGAATCAGCTACAAACAGCAGCTGTGTTGAACGAGGTGTTTTTTACGCTTGTATTTCCGCTGTCTAGCTCTTGTTCTTTCCCTTTCTGAATGGTGAATACTGAAACCACCACCTTATGGTAGGGGGAGTTATTTCTCCTACATAGACACAGCACATACGATACCTATGTGCTAGTCAGCCATTGGCTGTCGTCTGTGTGGTGTGTTCAAGGTGGTGTGTTTTTTTCAAACACAACTGGCCCAGTCAAAGGTGACATGAGGTGATGCAGAGATCGGCTTCGTCGGTCCTAGTTCTTTTAAATTGGCTTGCTGTGTGTCTGCCCTAACCCTTTACACTTCATTATGTGCTCCTCCTCATGCTCCCCACTCTAATTTCTATTTCTCTTTCTCTGTCTCACACACAAGCATTCACCGTTGACCTTGCCTTAGCCATGCATACTGAATAAAAGGGCCTAATGAGGGCTCTGCATTTGTTCAGTTAGTATAATTTCCTACTGTACCTCTCTTCATGTGGCAATTCAGTTCCATTTTGCCAGTTCTTCCATAAAGACGCCTATGCATTTCAACAGTGCTCAGAAGGTGAGCACATGAGGAGTCTCTTTTTTGTCCCTCTGTAAAGCAGACTGAATGCTACATTATATTAAGAACATGTCTCAGCATGCACAGGTCAAACTGCTCTGCTGGGACAATCAGCTGCTCATTTTAAGAGCCATGTTTCTAAAAAAAAAAACCCTTAGTATATTCCTTAGTTACTACAATATGATATACACCTGACCATCATATGGATCATCGGGGTCACACAAGTCATTGTCAGAGTGTGTGTTGTTGATGGGACGGAAGTCAGGACTGAATTGTACTGTAAGTGGCTGATAAGTGTTGTCATAGACCACCTCCTCTGTTTGGTGACGGTCGTTCCAGTTTTATGTGGATGGCTTCTCTTTTTCAAACCAACTGTCCTCTCTGGCCAAAATGTTAACAACGCGGTCTTCAAAGGAGAATCCCTTGTCTTTTGGATGCCAATGGACTGCTGAAGCTTGTCCTAAGGAGTTGGCTGTCCTGTGTTGTACCATTAGCTTGTGCAGCAGTTGATTTGTTTCTTGAATGTACAAGTATGAATGTATGACTTGTACATTGGATTACTGCGACTTCAACAGCCCTCAAGGTCTTAACGTGTGGTTAAATACCTGAAACCCCCCACCAGTTTATCAGAACTGAAGAAGCTTCTTGGATGAAGGTTAAAATGTCTTCAAGAACCTCAATCAAATCCAGTTGCCAACTTTAGCACTTCAGATATGATGATTCTATAACCTTCTAATCTGACAGAGAGACCTCTACAAAGACAAAAATATTGTGCAGTCACTAGTGACATTAGGTGGTGAAAAAAATGCTGTGGCCACAATTTGGTACGACATGGGAACAACTTATGGTGTGGTCATAAGCTGGGGGTGACTGTTGTTCAGTGGGTTGAGCAGTCATCTCCCAACCAGAGGGTCGGAGGTTCAAATCATGGTGCATGCATGTCCACATGTTGAAGTGTCCTTGGGCAAGACACTGAACCCCCAAGTTGCCCCCAATGGTTAGAGCCATCGGTTAGTTGGTGCTGCAGATGGCTGCCTCGGTTTTGTACCAGAAACAAATTCCTTGTGTGTAACATATGTTGAGTAAAATTGTTAACAAAGTAATACATTAGGATTAATTTTAATATTAGACTGAATTAAGAACTTAGCTAATAGAAGATTGACACTATGTTTGTTGATTAGTTAACTTGTTTGTTCACTTTGTTTGTGTATAACTATTCTATCATATTAGAAAAGGAATAGTTACGATTATATTTTAGAAATACATAAGTTCACATACTTACATGTCACAGATATGTTTATGAAGTTACTATTCACCACATTATATGTTCACTAACATGATGAGAAAATAAGTTACTGTATGCATACTGAAAACTCTGTGATATTACAGGCCCATGAGATTAAAAGTGTGGTGCACCGAGTAGCTCTCCAAGGTTTTATCATTCCACATTCCATTAGATTTGTTGCCTTTTCTCCAAAAGAGCTCATTATTCCCTCTGAGCTTTGAAGCCAGGGGAGTTAGAGTTTGATAAGATACTAAGATTCATACCAAGGTTATAATCAGATTTTGGCCTAGAAGAAACAGCTGCCTGGTAAAATAGCTAATTTCATATACACACACAGGCAGTGTCAGATCTTCCTCCCTCTGTAGGAAACTGTCTTTATCCATTGGAGCAGGAGGGACCTGGATGGATGAACCAATGGACCAATGGAGCAACACGAGAGGACCAGACCAGCCTACAATTGCACATTTCAAATTGTATAAATAACTGGGTTTCCAGGAGGGTAGGCGTTCCTTCTCGTCCTGAAGACGAATTGAACGGTTTTGTTGTTGAGGTTAGGGCTTCAGATAGAGATGGAACCCAGAGCTCTGTAAATTGCTTTATTCGATGGTCTGTTCAGTTATGAAAATAAATGTTTGAAAATTGATATTTGACTCCGATCATTCTTCATAAAGAACACGCTGCACATACTTGGCCAAATAAAGGTGATTATGATTATGATAACAAGTCAGAACATGATTGTAAGATGGGTGGCTATGAGTTATGTTGTGTTCTAAATGCAGTGCAATGGCACACTGTCAGCAGTTGTAATGACAGCTACATTTCATGTATATAACACTGCCACAGTTGAAATCAGGATGAATCATACCATATCCACTTGACAGCAGCATGCAAACTTTAATGTTCTGACTGACTTTACCTGCTGACAACAATGCCTGTAACATGATTGACTAGGATATATCCAAATGACAAGCATCCAGTAACATCTGGAACATGAATGATCTCCTTCTCACATGTCATGAGTCATGGCCATAGCATAGTATGTCATTCACATGCTTTAATAGGTAATGGCAAAGGAATATACTTTTCTTCCTATAATGTTACTAGAGGGGGTCTACAGCATAGCTCTAATACAGTATTTACAATATAAAAATAATTTATATAAGCTCTTCAGCTGTTCAGCAGCTTGGCTCTAGCTGTGTGCAGCTGTTTGCTGACCAGGGAGCATATAGTGAGTGTATCAGAGCATGTATCAGTGTAAACTCACTGAACCATTGTTAATAAAATTAGATATTAATTAGTGCAGCTTTGAAAAACTAGGGATTATTGCTGAGATCTGGAAATGGACACTGTTGTACACTGTTGTCATAACTATTAAAACATGACTAGAGCTTTGAAAATTAAGCCCAAGTTGCAGATTTCTTTCAGTAACAAAAAGTGAAAAAAATCTGATAACTTAATACAAGATATTTATTATTGGCTGGTGGTTAATTACATATCAAGTCTGCAACACTGTTCTCTGCTGGAAACAAGAATGTCTCTGTATGTTTGGCCATCAAATGGAGAGGTCTGAAAACATCAGATTATTGCCTGGGTATTTGGAGAATTGTTTCTCCGATCCGTTTGTTCCAGGACTCAGTAGAAAATGAACACAAAATGGCAAATGTCTACAACTACAGAGTTCTGTCAGCACAGCTCAGAGCAGAGCTGTATAGAAACATCTAAAAGTACTTAATATCTGACAAACCTCTTAATTTTGTACAATAGCCCATCATGAACCTGAAAATATCTTGTGTGAAATAAATGACTTTGATTATAAGTTATAACATCATTTGAGAGTCAGCATTCTTGTCACATCATGTTTCCTCTCTCCCACAGATAATGTTACATGTAGGAAATCTGAAAGGAGTGTCTCTATTTGAGCATCATAACCTTATCTAATGGGATTATTTTTGCTGGTTTACAACATGTCTTTTATCAGATAACAACTAGGAGGAAGCCTGACCTTCTATTTGAAAGGCAAAGACTTTCACATCTCCATGGCAACTGATGTAGTTAATATACCTAGGTATCAGATAGACACAGTGTGTGAACATGTCAAGTCCTCCTAATACTTCATAATACTGTATTTATAACTCACTCTCATTTTTAAAATTCTCACCATTGCACATTTCAATCAACTGTGAATAAGGTCATTATAACATGTACAGTTTACAGGTAAAAAAAATCATGCCAATTGCCATCAGTGCATACAGCAATCATACATTATTTTCAGGGGATGCTTCTCTACGCAGACACAGAAGTACCTATTTGGTATTAACAGACTGGGTTTTCCAGTGAAATGGGTTTTTTCTGTTTTCCCGTAGCTGACATTTTAAGTCTGTCCATGACAAGCCACAGTCCCCTGCTAAATTATTAAAACAGTGTAGATGACTGATATGAAAGGCATGTAAGCAGGGGTAGGGGAGGGGGATAAGTAGAAGATTTCCTGTACATGTCTGTTCTATACAAGCTTTGAGAGGCATTAAATGGGCTTAAATGTGACGTGTTCTATATTTGAATGGGTGTCAATGAAGAATTGGCTGCTCAATCATTATTGACTAAACAGATGATCACATCTGCGAAATGTAACTGTCAGCACCAAACTGGCTGATACGCCATTCAGACACACACTTACCATCAAATTCAGCAGGGCCCACTCCTACTATTATGACAGACATGGGCAGGGAAGCTGCCTATGGAAAAAACATAGGAATGTAAGCCAGATTCTTGTCTCCTGACTCAAAAATACACACTAATCATAACATGCTTGAATGTAAAGTATATATAACAAACTATATGACTGAGTACACTTGTCTACTATGAGAACAAAATGTTCTGACTCTTTTCACACAAGGTACAAGTACACAAAGTACAGAGAGTACTGAGTTTACCTGTGGCCCCCCTCTGTCCTGCTGTAAAACCGCTTATTATGACCAACTGTAATGTGTAAAGGTTAGGTGACCTCTAGTGACCACAAGGAATAATGACACAAGAAAACGAGGAGGTTAGGTAGTACCGTATACAGGAGGTGGTCAGAAAACACAGGCCTTTCCCAAAGGAGACCAATGTTTTTAAATGCATGGATCATTCCACCACCTTAATCATGTGTTTATTATTGTAACCATACTGATGACAATTATTTTAACCCAAACCACCATCTTTTTCTAAACATAACTACATAAGTCAAGTCAGTTTTTTTTTTTTGCATAGCCCAATATCACAAATCTCAAATTTCCGCCATAAGCTTTACAATCTGTACAACACATGAGTCCTCCGTCCTTAGAAATTCAAATGAGTTAGTGAAAAACTCCCTGAAAAAAACCTTTAATGAGGAAAAAGAAACAAGCAGTGTTTGTTCCTCAACTGAACCATATGTTTATGATTGCCTCCATCCAGGTCCAGTACGTTTACCAGTGGAACAGTTGTATGGAGTGTATGACTGCTACCATGGTGACAAAGGTCTGGTAAGTGTGTTGCTGGAAGGGTCCTATGGGTCGTATTCGATATACAATGTATATTGCAGTTTAGTCTTGGGGACTTGTTGCTCAACCTGACTATACTTGTCTGCATTCACAGTGGCTGTTTATTGTTGTTCCAATCTGCTTTTGTTGTCCCTGTAGCCTCTGTTATGGCATATGAAAAAACTATGAACAATCATGTTTGAGTGGGCGAGGGCATAGGAGAATGACTATATAAAGCATGGCCACCTAGCAGGCTGCACAGATGTGAAAAATGAGCTCACCTCTTCTATGAACCTCCTCAGAAATACATCATGTGGCACTGACTGTTATTCTTTCCTCATATATCAGCAAGGAATCGTACATTTACTTGCTACAATGCACACATGGGTTGAACAAGCAGAAGTGTTACCATAAGTCAACTGGATCGATCGGAGCTCAGACGGCCTCTCTTTCATGTGGACTCATAATTTCTTGGTCAACATCTATGTACAGACAGCATTTTTATTTTCTTTCTTTATTTGTTTGTCTGATTCAGATTTAATGCATAATTTGCAAAGCATAGTATATGCTTATCTATTTCTTCTGCCATTGGAATTTTGTGGTGTTTCTTGTGCTGTTTTTGCATGGAATCTGCCAGAGATGGTCTTTCAATCAATGATTGTAATGTGACCTGTTGTTCTTGTGCTATTCTGTTGGTAAATTAATCACACAAGGGTCAGCAGAACAAGTTGTAAACACAACATTAACAGTGTTATCGTTTTATAAAAATGTTATGTTGGCAAACAGTAGGTGTGATGGGAACAAAACATCAGAAACAAGGGAGTAACAACTGGTAAGGATTAGAAAGGGAAATACAGTAAATGACAATCTTTAGTAACTGTTTAAAAATTGGGTACCAAGATTGTCCAGCAATGGTAAACAAAAGTGAAACCCAGGTCACCAGGAACACCATCACTCCCACATCTTTTACTCTTAATTGGTGAGTCCAGTGTTAATCCTCCAGGAATTCTGGGGGCCAACGCACAAATACTGTAATTTCCTTACATTTCTTAACATGGACTGGAGTCACACAGGCATATGATATCTGTGGGGCAACTGCTTGAATTTTAAAAATCAGTAGCAACATTACACTCATGTTGATTGATCAACCTGGCTTGTCTATGTTGACTTTATAGTAAATGATACCAAAACTACAAGATGCTAAATATTTACAGATTTCCATGTGGAAAGGGGCAACTTGATCGTGTGTTTTGCAATCGCTAAGGATAACCAGGTTATCCAAGGCCCAAATTTAGTTTTTTATGTTTTGTTCTTTTCCTTTCTGTTGGTTTTGTTCCCTGAATGAATGTGGTTTAGATTAAATTAGGTTTTATTTCAGGTTCAGCCACTAAAGAGGGAGAGTTTCTCTATGTTCATCTTCAATCTCAGATCAACATGCAGTATGTACATACAAGGATAATTTGTGACATCACAACTAGTCTTGAAGCCATTTACAGTCCATTATACAACTTACATGTGTGAAGCAGAAATTTGAAACCGCTGGTTCAACTTGTGGAGGAGACATCCTGTTTCTAAGCAGTTAAAGGATAACACCAGTGCTGCTTGTTATTTTTACAGTCAGTGAAGTAAGAGACAGCTGTGCATGTGCGTGATCATTGCCCTGACTACATTACACCATTAGCTAATTCAGTTTTAATTCAGTTCAACTCAATTTATTTGTATAGTGTCAATTCACAATAATTGTCTCAGGCCACTTTACAAATCCTCCTTGAGCAAACATTTGGCAACAGTGGGGAGGAAGAAATCTCTGACAGACCCCAGCTCTTGGTGGGCGGCGGTGGATGGTTGTGAGCTACTCACACCACACATAGCAGCATGAGAAGCTAATTGAGTAGTGTAATAAATGATGGCTGTTCTTAGCCTTTAGAGTTCTTTTTTGAAAAATGATTGGCCTCACCTTTTTCCTGAGGAAGAAACATGTCACCCAGTGACATTATTCACTGGTGTTTTTAATTACTTTTTTGACAACAAAGACAGTCTACATTACAGACAAACTAAATCAGGTTCTGAATTTATAGTGCATGAAATTCATTGTTGCTTTTAGTATCTGTGTGGGATTTGCTGAAAATAACAAAAACAGAAAATCACTAGCCTTATCTTTTAAACTTTAAAAAGAAAATAGCATATTCATCAATCAAACACTCATTTATCATAAATTCTATCGTGAAGTATGTTAAAATACAAGGAATCTAGCTCAATGGCCCCCACAGATTCTGAATTGTTCAATGAGGAAAAAGTTGATGAAATGTTAAGAATTTATCACTTTTTTATGGAGAAAAATACACAAACACACACACACATAAATACACAAAAGTATAACCTCTGCCAAATAAATAATACACATATACTAACAGTAATAACAATAATACAAAATAAATAATGACAGTAAAAACCTCAAATCAAAACTGTCACATCCCTCGAAGCACAGGCTGAGGTGGAGGTGGGCAGCAATTTTTGATAAAGCTTATAGTTCCGTTAATATAATATTGTTGTTTTTCAATATAATTTTAGTAAGACAGTGAGGGAGGGTGAAAAGGTACATCGTATACTGTGGTATGTCTTTCAATATTTCATGGCATCATAATAACTAATGTGGCTGAACAAGGATAATACCAGGATAGTAACTTTAAGCAAAAAGGGGGCCTGTGCTGTCCTGTTAACTCTACCAGTTGTTTCTAGTCAACAGGATGGCCTTCACTTGGGCCCATTTAGTGGTGTCTATAAAATTATTGGACATGCATTATAGGTTAAATTTGGTTTGGTGTGCCATCCTTTAGTTACAGGCCTAGGCTGAGGGTCATCCCATGATGTAGAGCTCCTCTCCTCTCCATTTTATATTTATATGCCACCATTACACATCACTAACTTTGTGTCTCCTCTCTCTCTCTCTCTCTCCCTGTACCTTTCTGCAGGTAGCCCTGGCTCAGGAGCTGCACATTTCTAATGAGCAGTCACCGGCCACATCAACCTGACCAGTGTTTCATTGTTTGTTGTTGTGTTTTCTGTGTTTGTTGCTTTTCTTCTTTTCTCTCTCCTCTATCCACTCACCCCAACAGGTCGAGGCAGAAGGGCGCC